CCATTAAGCCATTGCATAGGCCCTACACTCTTTTTTTTTTTTTTTTTAATATTTAATCACTCTATTGGGAATTTTTTTAAAGATTTAATTTATTTTAATCGGAAAGGCAGATATACAGAGGAGGAGAAACAGACAGGAATACCTTCTGTCTATTGATTCACCCCCCGCCCAAGCGGCCACAACAACTAGAGCCGAGCGGTTCTGAAGCCAGGAGCCTGGAGTTTCTTCTAGGTCACCCACTTGGATACAGGGTCCCAAGGCTTTGGACCATCCTTGACTGCTTTCCCAGGCCACCAGGACATGAACCAGCACCCATATGAGATCTGGGCATGTGCAAGGTGAGGACTTTTAGCCTCTAGGCTATTGCGCTATAAACCCTTATTGGGAACATTCTTATTGCCAGCATGTCATGACCCATGTGAAGAGCAGAAAGTTGGAGTCAAGACTACACTTGATAGATTATCTTACCGCAAAACATGGGGACAATGGAGGAAGACATTATAAAAGTCCTTTTTTTTTTCCTACATCTCATGAGATCTGATAGTTTGTTTTTATTTTCATTTCTTTAAAAAAGGTTTTTATTTCCTCCTACTAATTTCTTCAGTGACACACAGGTCATACAGCACCATCACGTTCCTCAGGAAGGCTTTGATTATCTTTTCCATTTCTTCGGTGACAAATTGGTCATTCGGTGGCATGTTATTTAACTTGATATTGTTGGTAAATTTTTTATTACTGTTCCTGCTGCTGATTTTGATTCATGGTTTTTCACTTAAGGGGAAGTATAGTAACTGTGTAATAGAAACTATAAAAAACAGTTGTGAAGATGCAATGCAGCATGCATCTCTATTTCCAAACCAAAGATGGATTTCCAAAGAAACTATTAAATATGTCTTGACAATAGGACGCTGGACTCTCTGCCATTGACCATACCTACAATGTAAGGTTAGACATAAATAGCAGAACGATGGACATGTGACCGTTCATGAAGGACTGTACTACTGTAATAATACGGGGAAGTTATCGAGGTGAGTGGACTTTGGCAAGGAGAGGAGATGCTACGGAACCTCACCAAAAAATAATCATTGTCACAATAAATACAGTAAAAAAAGAAGAGGGAAAATGTTTGTTTATTTTTATTGGGAAGGCAGATTTACAGAAAGAAGGAGACACAAAGCAAAAGATCTTCCCTCTGCTGGATCACTCCCCAAGTGACCACTACGGCCAGTGCTGCACCTATCCAAAGCCAGGAGACTGGAGCTTCTTCTGGGTCTCCCACAGTGGTACAGGGTCCCAAGGTTTTGGGCCATCCTTGGCTGCTTTCCCAGGCCACAAGCAGAGAGCTGGATGGGAAATGGAGCAGACAGGACACAAACTGGCACACATATGGAATCCCAGTGCATGAAAGGTAAGAATTTGAGCCGCTGAGCCACTGTGACTGGCCTGCTGTGTGATTTCTAAGAAGTCATGACAATGATTACAACTGCCTTTCTCTTTCTTGGATCACTGCCTCTAAGGAAAATCAGGCATCATGTTGTGAATATACAAAGAATCCTACAGAAAACTCTCAGCAGGTGAGAAACTTAGCTTTTGATGAAAAGGTAGCACCAAATTCCCAGATAAGTTAGACCTTGGGTGAAGATCCTCCAGTTTCAATCAGATTTTCATACCTTCACAGCCTTTCCTCTTCAGATTATGATGATTCTTAATATTGATGTTACTTTGTATGTAATTAAGGTATTTTTGCAGTGCTACAACCAAGTGCTATGAAATCACACAGGTAAATAGATCAAAAGCTTTCCATGATTAAATTGAGAGTGTGAGCCAAGGTTCTGAACTAAAAATTTTAAATTTCTTTCCTTAATAGAAGCCTACAATTAAATGCTTACATAGGGAGCAGCAGCTTAAGTCACTTCCTGTAACTCTAGTATGTCCTTTGAGCACTGGTTAGAGTGCCGACTGCTCGACTTCGGATCCAGCACCATGCTAATGTGCCTGGAAAAGCAGCAGAGGATGCCCGATGGAAGAGACCTAGATGGAGTTCCTGACTTCAGTGGAACCCAGCCCCACTTGTCACAAACATTTGGGGAATGAGTCAGCAGAACATGACCTCTCTCTGTTTCGGTCTCTCTCTGTCTCTTACTCTGCTTTTTCGAATAAATCAATTAATTACAAAAACAAATGCATACACACATTGGAGAAAGGTAGTTTTAAGAAAAATTAAATTGACAGCTAAAATTAATTTCTGTCACCCAACATTGTTTTAAGCCTAGATGTGTAATGTGATAGTATTCTAACATTAACAAGGCTTGGCAGAACTTGAAGGGAACTTATCCTAAGTATAAAAAAGCCAAACATGGGCCTGCCACAGTAGCCTAGAGGCTAAAGTCCTCATCTCAAATGCTCCAGGATCCCATATGAGCGCCAGTTCTAATACCAGCAGCCCCACTTCCCATCGAGCTCTCTGCTTGTTGCCTGGGAAAACAGTCGTGGATGGCCCAAAGTCTTGGGACCCTGCACCAGCATGGGAGACCTGGAAGGGGTTCCTGGTTCCTGGCTTTGGATTGGCTCAGTTCTGGCTGTTGCAGTTGCTTGGGGAGTGAATCAATGGATGGAGGATCTTCCTCTCTGTATATCTGACTTTGCAATAACAATAAACAAATCTTTAAAAAAGAAGGAAAGAAAGTCAAACACAACATATCACATATTTTGAGAATCCATTTCTATGACATGTCCAGAATAAGGCAAATCCTCAGGGACGGAAGGCAGATTATCTGCTGCCAAGGGCTGGAGGGTGTTGTGGATGGGGAGTTTCTGCTAATAGACAGAGGTCTATTTCATGTTCTAGAATCAGAACGTACTTAGTGTTGATTGCATTTCTCTGTGAATACATAACAAACAAAACAGTAAATTTTATGGCATGTGAATTAAATGTGAATAAACCACAAGACACTTTCCAGCTGTGATTTGTGATTTCAAAACCGATGTTTGGCAAAGTTTACACTGGAAAATCTTCATTATTTTCACAAATGATTGACCTCGCTTGGGAAAAGCCTACACCAGGATCTGGTTAAAACAGGTAAGTAAATTTTCTACAAATTCAGAATAAAACATTCAAATGATCAAAAACTGTTTAACTCCTCAAAAGGTTCTAACGTTATTTTCCCAATGACTTTTCCATTACTTTTCCCAAACTGAAAGTTTTTGGTACATGGCAAATGTAATACAAATTATTTTAAAATTTCTTAGAACATAAAATAATTCTTTACAACATTCACATACTAAACCATGCATTTATACACTAGAAGAATCCTTATGTTGTCTCCTGAATATTCAGTTCTTTAGATGTATATTCATTTTACATTTTATTTCCCATGAGGATTTTAAAACTTTATTAGAACTCAGTAATTTAAACAGCAAATTTAGGGTCAACATGGTGGCTCATCAGGCTAATCCTCCACCTGCAGCGCCAGCATCCCATATGAGTAACTGGACCCAGCTGCTCCACTTTTGCTCAGGCTCCCTGCTCTGGACCAGGAAAGGAATGGAGGATTGCTCAAGTCCTGGGGTCCCTGCACCTATGTCAGTGAACCGCAAGAAGATCCTGGCTCCTGACTTTGGATGGGCTCAGTTCTAACTCCAGCAGCCATTTGTACAGTGAAACATCAGATGGAAGATCTCTCTTCTTCTCTCTGTAAATCTGTCTTTCCAATAAAAATGTAAATCTTTTTTTTTTAAACCAGCAAATGTAAGACTAAATGGATATTTGGCAAATTACATTTTAAACTTATACATAAGAAACAAGCTTTAAAATAATTAAGTACACTGGGCCCAGCACCGTGGCCTAGCAGCTGAAGTCCTCACCCTGAAGGTAGCAGTTCTAATCCCGGCCGCCCCACTTCCCATCCAGTTCCCTGCTTGCGGCCTGGGAAAGCAGTCAAGGATGGTCCAAAGCCTTGGAACCCTGCACCCGCATGCGAGACCCGGAAGAAACTCCTGGCCCCTGGCTTCAGATTGCCTAGCTACAGCCATTGCAGTCATTTGGGGAGTGAATCATCAGACAGAAGATATTTCTCTCTGTCTCTCCTCCTCTCTATATATATCTGACTTAGCGGTAAAGATAAATAAATCTTTAAAAAAAAATAAACTAGGTATATTGCTCCACACAGCAGAAAGAATATAAAGTTAACAGCGATTCCTTTTTGCACGGATCATCTAGGACATAAATATCTACAGAATACAAGGAAGACATATCCGTATCAATAATTAAAGAGGAAAACAGTTTTCCTATGGACCAACAGAAGATATTTTGTTTACCGGAAAACTTGTAAGTAAAACAGTATTTTTAAAAATGTAAACAATTCAAAAGACAATATGGTAGTCAATGGTTAAAATATACAAACATAGATGAAAGAGGCTACAACTCAGCATCGCTTGGAAAACAGAATTAGGGCTCAGAATACAAAACAATGGAAGAGCTAATGACTGGCCCACTAGAGAAAAAACTCACACATCAGTTAAAAATGTGTAAAGTTATTTACATGCAAAAAACCTGATATCTAAAATATATCAAAAATGCAAATATTCTGATATAAAATTGCCCATCTGATTTTAAAAGATAATTTTTAAAATTTAAAGATTACTTATCCCTCCCCGGGTCCATACCAGCAGAAAGCTGAGGTCAGGAACGGAGCCAAGGCTGGACTCACATTCTGACATCATATGGAGGCACAGCAAGCAGCAACCCCAACCACTCTACAAACAGCCACTGAGGAACAGTTTCATCAAGATAATAATTTATATCCCTCACTCATAATATGTAACATATGAAAATACCCATGCAAAGTAAGTGGTTAAATATCCACCTCTTCAGAGGAACTAACAGCTCCTATTACATTCAGCCCAATGCTAAAAGAATGATGACTGAAAGGAATCATCCCAGTGGAAAAAACAGATTCTCCATATGAAAACCAAGAAATCCTCTAGTCCGCATCTCCTACCTCTGCTGCTGAGGCAAATGAATCAGTTGATGCGATGCTCAAGGTGTCTCGCAGGCCAAAGTCATCCATGTTCCCCTTCATCGTGATATCTGTATCTTTATCTTAAAAGTGAAAAGTGAAAAGTTCAGAAATGGAAATACTTTGTTTCTGTCAGGTCCTATTTTCTACAACTATTTCCTCTCCTATTCTTCATTTAGACTACTAGGATCTAAAATACAAAACAATACAAATCAATGGAATACCAACTGATAAAACTCTCAGTGAAGATCCATTGTTTAAGGGTCCTGAAACTGGCATGCAGAGGACAGGCTGTTATAAGATGGATACTCATTTTTAATTCAAAAAGATTATACATAATTTTGAAAAGTGCTTGTATAATAACTGTAATTGGCTTAACCTGCCAAACATGGTAAAATTAGTATATCCCAAAATCAGTGTGAAAGACAGGAACTTATTTGTATGCGGCCTTGCCCAAATTGGAAGAACTAGAATGTAGATTCAAATCCACTGAATTATTGTGATACAATGTCTGAACAGTCACTTTTAAAAAATTTATCAATCTGTACAATTCCAGAAGATATTTGTGAGTTCTTCAGGCTTTAAGACCTACTTTAGGGGGCAACATCACGGCATAGTGATCAAACTTCCCAGCTGCAGTGCTGGCACCCCACAAGAGTGCCAGGTCATACCCTGGCTGCTCCACATCCAAAGCAGCTTCCACTAATGTGCCTGGGAGAAGCAGAGGATGGCTCAGTGCTTAGGCTCCTCCCACCCACATGGAAGACCCACGTGAAGCTCCTGACTCCTGGCTGTAGTCTGGCTCATCTCTGGCCACTGCGGCCACTTGGAGAGTGAGCCAGAAGACAGAAGATTCTCTCTCTATGAAAAACAAAGAATAAAATACAGATTGTTCTCAATTTGATTCTTAAACTATTAAGTTTCTCAGATACTTTTTTCTTTAAAAAGAAACCAGAAACCTTACATGTTATTCACCTAAATTTCTATTCCATCATTTTCCCCTAAATAAAATTAATTACCTTTACCATTTATTTCAAGGCTCTTAAGTACCAGGAAAATAATTAGTGTCTCCATACAGGAAGTAGGGAGCAGACTTACTTAAAAATCCAAACCATGAATTTAACTTAAACTAAAAAGCTGTACATCCAGATTACCTGTCCTGTGTCTTGGGGTCTGCCTGCAAGATGGGCAAGTCATTGAGACCCTGGGTTGATATAAGGTGGTGGTTTCTCATCCCTGGGTACTGGGATGTGTGGAAAGTCATGTGTGACTTCCCTCTTTGTCTTTCCCCTTCCCCCAGGAACAACAATAAGAAATAGCAAATTTGGAAACAATGAGTTCACCCAATTTTCCTTAAACCTCAATGCTTCCCACCCTGATGGCACCAGTAATCATTATAAAAATTAATTTATATATAAAAAAGTTGTACAACCAACTATATTCCATGCTCAAAATAATACAGAAGTGAGAAAAAGCCACAGTTCATAAGGGTTCATTCTTAATAAGTACCAGCAGTAAAACCAGGGCTAGTACTGTGGGACAGTGGGCTACACTACTGCCTACAATGCCAACATCCCATACTGCTACCAGTTCATCCTGGCGCTACTAAAATTCTGATCCAGCTCCCTGCTAATGCACCTAAGACAGAAGCAAAAGACTGCCCAAATGTTTGGGCTCTAGCACATTCTGGGAGACTCAGATGGAGCTATGGGCTCCTGGTTTCCACCGGCACAGTTCAAGCCATTGCATCCATTTGAAAAGGGGATTAGCGTATGAAATCGCTCTCTCTCTCTCCACCACCCCCCCGTGTGTGTGTGTGTGTGTGTGTGTGTGTGTGTGTCCACCTCTCTCTTGCTAGCTCTGTCAAATAGATACTTTTTTAAAAAAAAAAAGCCAAAATTACAAATGTAGTAATTTTTCCTGATTTATTTTTGATAGGATTAGATTTTATATCTTAACTATTATTTTCCATGTTTAAATTAGAATTGCTTTGAAAGGAAGATTACCTTAATCTTTCAAAAGCATATAACTAGGATGAGCACTTGGCCTAGCAGTGAGGATGCCTGTGTCCCACACTGGAATAGCAGGTTCAATTCCGTCTTCTACCTCCCGTTCAGCTTCCTGATAATGTGGACCACAGAAGGCGCAGGTGATGGCTGATGTAGCTGGGTTCCTGCCACTTATGTGGAAGAACCAGACTAACTTTCTGGCTCTTATCCCTGGTTCCAGGGAGGGCAAATTCCAGAACTGAGGAGTGAATTAGCAAAAGCGAACCCTCTGTTTCCCAAACAAATAAATAAAAATCGTTAAATAAATGTACCTAACCTTTCAGCTTAAAATCTTTCCATATGGGAATGGAGCCATGACATAGCAGGTTAATTCTTTGCCTGCAGTGCCAAATTCCACATGAGGGCTGGTTTGAGTCCTAGCTGTTCCACTTCCAATACAGCTCATTGCTAATGTGCCTGGGAAAGCAGTGAAAGTTGGCCCAGGTCCTTGGGCCCTGGCATACACGTGCAAGTCAGAGGAAAGTCAATGCTTTGGCTTTGGCTTTGGCACAGCCTGGCTCCATCTGCTGCAGTCATTTTGGGGAATGAACCAACAAATGGAAGATTTCCATCTCCCTCGTCATTTCTTATTCTCTGTAAATATGCTTCTCCTGTAAAAATAAGTAAATATTTTCAAAACAATCCTATAACTAAATGAGTATTAATGAGACAAAATCTGAGACTATTTCAAAAACATTTTGAAAATCTATATCTTCATTCCACACATAAAATAACACAATTATTTTCTATTTATAAATAACCACAAAATTGGAATTTGGGAAGATTCAATTATCTAGATAAGTCTCCTATCTTTCCAGCATATGTAATCCTTTTAAAATGTACACATACACAAGTAATTCACAAAGTTTAGTAAGTTACAACTCTCAAAAAAAGGATTTGTTCATTATTTTCTACTTATGGTATTGCTTGTGCAAAAAGAAAAATCACAGTGTCATTTTGTTATGTCTCGGTATTTTTAAGGTGAGATTAAAATTATAAGCCAATGAAATCTTGGTCTCACATCTTTTGCTATTTTCTTGGGTCTCTTTACCTTTCAGACATTACCCATGCTGCTAATGTCTGTTTTACTTCAGTCAACAATAACTGACCATTGAATGTCATCCAAACCAGTTTCCATGACGGTACTTTATATATATAAAAAAAAAACTAGCAAAGGAAAATGGCTCAATAACAGAGGAACAAGAAAGATTTGCTCATTAAATCCAATTCCATAAACCACAGACCATATGTCTTATTTCAGTAACTGTTATGATTTCTGGAATGGCAGCTTAATAATTACACAGAAATAATACATCTGGTTTTTAGATAAGCCAATAAAAAAGTATAAAGGAGGAAATTAGGGCAATATCCCAAGCTGACTGCCTTCATGCACCCAGTTAAAATTTAAAATATTCTTTCTAAAAAAGTATCCATTTTTCCTTGTAGCACTGAAATAATGTGGAAAGTTGAGAACCAAAGGCTTTGTCTTAGTATTTCCAGAAACTCCTTACTACATTTTTCTTAGAAGGAAAAAAAAAAGGCCCACAACGAGACATTATTATACATCTACTAAATGACTCGGGTGGGGTGGGGGGAAATGGCCTTTTTGTTTTTTGATCAAGGATACACAGTAATGGAAAGTTAATACTCCACCAGTGGACGCATTAACTAAAGAAGTACATTGGGAGCTTTGGCATTGTCTGTGGAAGTTTCAGGCTGCATTCTCTCTCTGTCTCTTTCTCTCTATATCTCTCTCTTTCTCTCTTTTAAATATTTATTTTTATTGGAAAGGCAGATTTACAGAGTAGATACAGAAAACGATCTTCCATCTGCTGGCTCACTCCCCAAATGGCCATAACAGCTGGAACTGAGACATCCAAAACCAGGAGCCAGGAGTTTCTTCAGGTTCGCCCATGTGGGTGCAAGGTCCTAAGGCATATGGCCATCCTCTACTGCTCTCCCAGGCCACGAGCAGGAAGCTGGATGGGAAGTGGAACAGTTGGGACATTGAACCAGTGTCCATATGGGATCCTGGCACATTCAAGGTGAGGATTTAGCCACTGAGCTATCACACAGGGCCCAATATTTCATTCTCTAGGACTTAGAAATTCTACCCGTGGGTGTGTTTTACAGCAATATATAATTACATTCATCACATCACTGTTTATAACAACCCCAAAGTGAGAAAAAAATATATTGTCTGCCTACTATAGAATGTATAAACTGTAGTACATTTGGTTTTAAAGAAATATTATTTTATTTTATAAATATTATGTTTCCTACAATGAAATACAATAGAAATGAACTGCTGCTTGATATAGGAATATGAACGAATCTCAGAATGTTGAATGAAAACTTACATATATGACTTCATTCATATAAAATTCTAAAATATACAAAACTAACTTACAATGATCAGGGCTACAAACTTAGTTAAATCACAACGCAAAGCTAGAAAGCCTTTACATAAACATCAGGCTGATGGTTAAGATGGTTAGGTGAGGGGGTGGGGAGGAATGAGGCAAAAGGAGCAGGCCGAGGAAGCCGTCGGGGGAGCTGGCAATGTTCTCTATTTTGATCTCCAGTTATACAACAGTGCAAGCTAAGTTGAGGCACTTGTTCTACACTCGCCTCGAAAGATTCAAAATAGAGGCAAAGAAAAGGAAACAATACTGATTATATTTCTTGACCCCAAATGTCTGAAAAAAAAAAAAGTTCAATTGTAGCTGCAAAAGCAGGAGAAAAGGGAGGAATGACAATGCTTTCTGTATTTCATTGATGGCAACGAGTTCATTCCCTGGTTGATGAAACATCTTTGAGGAATACATTGTAATTAGGTTTGTCATTTTACTTTTTTTTTTTAAGATTGATTTCTTTGATTGGCAGCGTAACAGACAGCTATAATCAGAGAGAACATCCATCTGCTGGTTTACTCCCCAAGTGCCTGCGAAAGCCAGGGTTGGGCTAGGCCAAAGTGGGTGACAGAACCCAAATACCTGAACTATCTCCAGGGTAGGACGCTGCCGTGAAAGGAG